GGCGCGGAGACTGGCGCGGAGACGGGCGCGGGAGACTGTGTAGGTCTCTCGACTCTTTGCTGGTCTTTGATTTCTTCAAACTTTTCGGATTCTCCAAACTTTTTGGATTCTTCAATTTTTTGGGATCTTCGATTTTTTGGATTCTTCAAACTCTGTAAATTCTTTGGTTTTTTTAATTTCTCGATTTTCAATCTCTCCGATTTCTTTCGTCCCTTTAATTTCTTTGATCTCTCTGATTAATTTAGTCTTGGTTTCTTCAGTCCCTTTAATTTCTGTTATTCTCTGATTACTTCAGTCTTGATTTATTCAGTCCCTTCAATTTTTCGTCCTCTCTGGTTCCTCCAATTATATCTCTTTGCTTATCTCCCTGGTCGGCTGGCTGTTGCACTGGACGCGGGCCGGCTCCGTGATATTGCTTGTGGCTCCAAGGGCCAGCGCCCGCGCCGCACCATATTTAACCTCCGCCTCGGGCGAAGCCGCAGAACACGCACCAGTGGACTTGCTGTGTCGCCCGGCTGCCCCATACTTGCGGCGTGTCTTCTTTGTTTCTAGGGCCCGCAAGACTTGGGCCGGCCCCGTGCAATTGCGCCATGGGCCGTGGCTTTACCGCTTCGGGCCCGCCTTGGGCGCCGCCGCTGAATCTGGAAAGCGACGCATTCCGCCGGCGTGCACCAATCTGCCTCGGCACCACCTTGGCTGGCTGGGGAAATCGCACTAGGCCCTGGAAGTTATGCCGGCCCCGCCCGCCTTGGCCTGCGGGCCCCGGATGGCTCGACTATCCTATGTAGACTCCCCCACTACGCGCACCGGGCAATTGAGGACCCAGCACCAGCCGCACTGGCCATGCCGGCCCCAGAGTTCGGACTTGCCCGACCCAGACAACACAACGAATCTCGAGTCGGAATGGATCTCCAGGTCAACCAAAAAAAAAAAAATTAAAAAAAAAAAAATAAAAGAAAAAATCCACACAGCAGGCAGAACAAGTAAAACGCAACACAGGCCACACATGACATGGCCCAATTACTACTCTTGATCATGTCACTTCCACAACGTTCTGGGTGACAGTCTTGGTCAATGGGCCTACAATGATGGGCCTACAGTGATGGACCTGCGACAGTGGGGCTGCGACAGTGGGCCTGCAATGATACCGAGCACTTGTGAGCAGCAGCCGTGTTGCAAGATCAAAACCGCGCCCAGACTTCTGGATATCATCTCGAACATCATTCCACAAAATGTCTTCGCATCAATCCCCGAAAGCATCACCGTCGATCAAATGCCCGAGGCTCTTGGAAATATACTCGAACCAACTTGACCCAACGCTGGCACCTCTGATCTAACCCACGACAACCAACCCGACTCGAACATCACCCTCGCCTAATATACGCGGCGCACGCATTTCCGGATTCTCCTCTCGCCGTTCTCAGCTCTCGAGACAGGACTCTTCAGATTCCACCCCAACGGTCGCCTACACTAGAACACCACGCCGTGCGCGCTCTCGTCTTTCAACTATATCTTTATTAAAGAAGGTACGTATACACTCAAAAATTAAACCACCTGAGAAAAGCGGGATGAACTTAATCTCTGGCTCTTCTTCTGTAAGAGTCACCACCGAATCTTCCTTGTGGGCCTCTGGAGGAAGGTCCTTGTCTTTGAGCTGGGGCACCCTTCAATCTGGTCATTGGCAAGATTCCCTCGGGGATGTTCAACTCTTGTCTGAGGAAGTCCACACCTTCGTCGGTCAAGGTGTAGTAGTAGTATTGCCAAGAGAACTGGGTCGTGACGAAACCCTTGGAGGTCAAAGACTGCAAGGCCTTGATGACGTACAAGTTCTTGGTGTCAATGTCCTCGTGGGCTGGTTGGTCAAAGTCCTTCTTTGCGACAACAACACCCTCTAGAAATAGTTAGTACAACGGGCAGGGGGTTGGATCTTGGCTCACTAGCATTTGCCGTGCCTCGGAGATTCTGCTCAAAAGAATGTCTCGTTTCGCTTCCTCGACTGCCGAGTACATGGAACATTCTCTTGTCCTTGTCTTGAATGACCGGCTGTAAATCCGATGGAAAGCCCAGAATTCGACGGATGACGGACGTACTTCCGATTCATCGATGGAGACTGGCGTGGGGCAAGGTTCAGATGAGTGCGGGATCGGATACTAGGGTCGTGATTATTACATACCTTGGAAGAGGTATTGGTGAATCTTTTTTCTGTCCTCCTTTGGAATCAACATATTGAATTCTACTTATTTGACGCAAACAGTTCTAGCAAGGAGAAAGGGAAAACGAAAAAATCAGGTGTGCCAGTAGGAATTTTTTTCGCCTGAATCGCGGAAGTGTGCAGGCGCCGAGGACACCCGAGGGTGGATTGGCAGGTCGTGCGTCACGTGCGCACTGGTGCTCCCAGGGCACCAGCCCTGGAGGACGCGCCCAGCTGTTTGGCAATCAAGATTTGTTTGGCATCAAGGTTTGTTTTGGTTTCATGATTGCTTACAGTTTTATCGCTGTATTTAAAATCACCAAGGGAAGCAGCTACAGGGATCTCTTGCAGAAATTGTTGGTCTGTGCCATAAAGTTTGGATCGGTATTCAGCTGTACCGCTAGCTTGCTCTGCATAGAACACGATGCTTTCAGCTGTCGAGATGGTCTAGAAAAGCCTTGTAATGAATGTTCGGTATGGCTCTATGCTGGTGAACTGCCATGACTGCTGATTCATTTTCCTACTTCTTCACTTTTCTGCTTTCTTCATTTTTCTTCTTTCGTCACTCTTCTACTTTTTTCTCTGCATCAGACTCATTCCTTCCTGCTCATATGGTGATTTGTTCAAAGGGCCACAACTGTTTGCGGCCACCTCTTTCACTAGCCTAAATGGGGAATAGGATGCAAACGACGCATATCCAAAAACGTTTTATAAGCATGTTATGAACACCGCAGCGTGTGAAAGAAGAACTACAATTTTACCTGAAACCAGAATATTTCTCTTCGGAATGGTTTGCAATTATTGCCTCGATGACATCTTGAAAGAAGTGTGTCTTGATCGGAGGCTCAGCCAGCATTTGTTTCATACCTGTCGCTTAACTCGCCTCGCGTAGAAATCAGTAGTCGCGCAACCCGCGATAAGTCTAGCGAGTTGTTTATCTCGATTAATATTACCCCATATCCTTATAATTCATGCCTCTGTAGCATTCAACGCCCAAAAAAGACCTGAACACGTGGTAGAATCATTCGGGGTCCCCCAATCAAACTCCACGACATTCTAAAATGAGGTCGATCTTGAAATCTCATAAGCGCAACGACTCGTCTGCCTCTGATCCGAGCTCTCAGTTAGATCCACCATTCACCAAGGCTTCTGTCACCAGATCAAATGGTCCTCCAATCTTGCATCAGACAGTCGAAATGACCCCTCCAATGAGTGCGTCCGGGTTTCATCAACTGGCCATGAGCTCCCCCAAAAAGCTCTTGACACCAATCAAAAAGATGTTTGGGCATCATTCGAAACCCACAGCTGCCCCACAAGCCACCGAGACTCTTCAGTCCCTAATACTGGGTGATCTTGAGCCTCCTAGGAGCCACAAGTTCTCCCGTCAAAAAAAAAATCCCGTGACAGATGCAACGGAATCACACAATTCAGACAGCTCTACTTCCCAACACCCAACGTTATTGGCAACGCTGTCCACGTATTCAAATAGCGGTCTTCACCAGCCAGTCAAAAATCTCACAAAACTCGACGACAAAGCAATCCTTTGGCGTGACAAAAGCCATGGCTCATCAAAACCTGATGATTTGTGGTCAGGCTCTCAGGCTTCAGCCACAATGCCGATTATCACACTCAACCCTTCAGATGTCTCGATTTCAACGTCTAAGAACAGCTTAATTTTGTCTCCCGATAAAGATAACTCTTTCTCTAAAGCAGTCAAGGGGGAAGACTCATCGGGAGCAGAGAATGATCTGAAGGACTCCGACGACTCATCACAATTTTCTTTCATGAAAGATATCCGCGGCGGAAGAAATACATCTGTGAAGTACTATAAGACCAAGCTCAATACTGGTGCTGCTGACGGAATCCTGCTGAACTATTTTAATATTGATGATATGAGAGTTGATGCAGAAGCATTTTCTGATTACGATTTCGAAAACAATGGTCTTAGCGATGAGAACGACTTTGATGATGGCTTCACAGAGAACAACAACAGGTATGGAGATTTTGTCTCGGATTACACCACTAATCGTGTAGTCCAAGACCCTGCGGCAAATGAGTCCTTATTATTCAGAAGTCCAATCAACAACTTAGCAAGATCCCCGAGCACTGGCTGCTCGATCGAATATGCTAATGAACGCCTTGAAGATTTGCCTCTATCTCCTCGGCGGTCTCCCGGATACGCTGGTGATTTTTTCGACACCTACTTAGAGTCAAGGCTGCCGGTCAACATTATAGACTCAACGCAGAGCAGAGATAATCTTCATCGCTCTGATTCGAGCCAAAATGGCAGCGAAGTCGGCTTGGGTTTGGGAATTGCCTTACAAGAAAGTCATTTGAACGAGTCTTCCAGTACACACTCTGGAATGAATATCATGGATGCACTCAGAAAGTTGGAAGATAGTACATACCATGACAATACCGGAGTCCCTTCGCCCAGGGAATCCAAAAGTGAACTTGGGATAGAAACTACTGATTTTCAGTGCAACATGCTAGAACCCTCTGCGTCTGAGGTGACTGAATATCCATCAAGTAAGTCAAGGGGCGAACAACGTAAGTCGGTGGCAGAAATGATGGCTATTCTTGCAAGGTTGGACAATCCGCCTGAGACTTACTCCCAGGTACCTAGAGATACAATTACAACTGCGGAAACGACTTGCCTACCTTCCGACCACAAGAAAAGATATTCATGGTTTAGCAATGATGACTCCTTTGAGCAAAGCGATATTACTCATCACCGAATATCAGGAGATACATATGCAAAAGCTCCACTTGACGATGACCTTCTTGATGAAGTGAATCTGGTTCCTGAAAATTTCGACTTCGACAAAATGCAGAATCACCTTTTGGTTGCTTCCGAGGCCCCGGCATTCTTAAGATCAAATTCTTACAGCAAAAAACCTCAAAAAATAGTGACTGATAATAGCTATCACGAAACAAAGATTGACTTCCAAAACAAAGTCGTCACATTCTACAGATCTAAGAGTCTCGGGACAGAGCGGCAAAGAACACAAATTCCTGCAAAAGCAGCCTCCCTCAGATCTATCACATCGTTCAATGATGAAGACATTAGCGAGGGCGATGAAGAGGTTTATTCCGAACCACAAGCCCTGATAGAAACGCGACTTAATTACCTCTCTCGTGATACACCCGATTTGCTCCCACAAAAGTCTGCAAGCCTTGAGCCAATCAATGAGTATAACACATCAAGAACAAGCTAGCACTTGTTGGTAAATACCATCTACAGCTGCATGATGGGCGCTGTCCAAAGCATAAACAACAGCTAACGAAGTTGGCCTAAATTAAATTTCTCATATTTGAAAAAAAAAAAAAGATTAAAAAGACGACTAACGTTGAGATTGCTGTCTCATGTAATAAGCATCTTTCGACGAATAATCGAAATAGCTGGCATCCTGGCGAGCATTCAAAGGCTTTCTGCTGGTAGTTCCCTTTCTTAGAAGTGCATCACCATGTGGTTTTGTTTTATAAACCGGGTTCGTCTGGTATGCCTGCTCCCTTCGAATGGACGCTATGGATTTAACATGAAAATTAGACTCAGAGGATGCTGTCCAGCTTTGTGTCAGAACATCACTAACTTCGGAATTATCTGACCGCGTTGACGGTTCCCGAGAAAGGCCAGCAGAGAAAGCTTCCGTTGAGTGTCGTGGGTGGTGAACTTTGCCCCGGTCGTCCCAATTAGTCATATATGTCGAGTAAATGCTCAGTAAATCGTCCCTTTCTTCCCTCGCCCCCCTGTCATTTTGGTCCTCATCTTCATCCACGAGAACTACTTCAACATTCTTCCCGTCCTTAGTTTTTTCTATCGTTGATCTGTAGGAAATCACCGAGTCATTTCTGTTGACCACGCAAACGTTATACTTTTCCTTGGTCAAATCTATGACTACATTATCGTTTTCGGTTGGTGCAGTAGATTCGGTACCCCTCCCTGTCTTACTTGATTGGAAACTCGACGTGCCCTCAGACAATTTAGGTGTATACTGCCCAGAGGAAGCGTGAGACGGTGAATACTGCCTTTTTTTGAGACTCAGATAATAATCTTGAGAGACCACTAGAGAAGGAAAAGTCGGACTTTCAAGGGGGTTGGCATCCCTGGCTTTGAAATCGATTGCATACGACACTCTCTTTGGAGGTTCGTTCACTTTGATGTCTAAGTTCTCGAAATTTCCTGTCAATTCTTCTTTTTCGGGAATCCTGAAAGAGGCCATGAGACTGTCGGGTCTTTTAGTATTAGCACGTCGGTATTGTCGAGGTGAATTTGCTAAGCGAATTTCAGCAAATGAACCACTCAAAGAGTCAACATACGCGTTTGATTTAGAACGATTGTGACTTTTTTGAGGACTCGTTATGCTTTCATAATCAAAATCGATATTGTACATCGATCTGTGGCGCGAATGACGAACCGGGGATGAAGCAGAGGATATTGTTCCCCGAGACTTGACAGGAAGGGGGTTCTTTTCCGCTTCACTTTGAGATTGAAGCTTCGAAAACTGAGAATTGAACGATGAATCACTGTCTGAGTCAAAAGACCTGTCTCTTAAGACAGTTTTCAAGTGCGCCTTGGCACCCAGGCCTGGAATTTGAAGAGGTTCAGTTTGACCTTCACCGGCCAATAATTGGTTACCGCTGGCGCCATTTTTCCATATCAAATCGTCAAGGTCAGGTATCTCGATCTTTCCGCCAGAAAGAATACTGCTACGAGCAGACCCTCTCGTACGGTGTCTCTGTATTCGCATTTTGCTCTTTACTTCGTTACTGTTTGTAGCATTCGAGTCGTTGTTGGGAAAGTGAAATCCAATGCCCGCCCCTACATTGTCGTCCGGAGCACTGATTCCAGGGGTTTCTTCGGGTTCACTCTTCAGGTTCACAACATATGATAATTTTGATGCGGATTCTGGATGGAGCTCATCATCATGCGAATGCACCTCTTTTTGTTTATTGCATTCTTTTGAAGCTGAGACTTGTTTCGCATGCTTGTATTGTGATTCGGAACCAGACATTTTGAGCTTATGCTGGCTCGAATTCCCAGATGCTTTGGCGAGGGAGTCATCCATGTTTTTATTCACAGGTAGCGGCAGCGAAGCGGGAGTCGGCGTCAATTGGGAAAGGGACATTGGATTGCGATTGCGGGGCTTGCTTTCGAGCATTGAGTCAACGAGGTGTTTGGACACTCTCACATCTCCCTTGGAGTTAGGACTCAGCATGTACACGTGATTAAAATTAAGATTGTCTGCAACGGAATTGAGAGAGCTAACCGAAGAGACTTTTGAAGCGTCTGAAAACTCCCGCCTATCGATTTTGAGCCTTGGAGAGGTATCTGTGCAAAAATTATGTTGAAAGACGGCAATACCAGACAGTCTGTTCGGGCGAAGTATTCTGTGGGTACCACTTGATGTGTTTGCAGACATATGAACCGTGTCTAGCTGCTTCATTTGTGGCATTTGAACTTGGAATGCATCGATGGCGTTATTCGATTTGAGCTTTCGCTCCTCCGGCAAATGTGAGGATTTGTTCTGCTGTACTACCGTATTGAGGTCTCCAGGAGCCCAATATTCACGTGTTAGATTATTGCTATTTTTTATCCCCACTGTTGTGCTTGTGGTAGTTGGAGACTTGGTTGAGCTCACTTGCGATGTATGCGCCTTGTGTGTTTGAGGGGTAGGAACAGGGCTTAAAGCCTGTGATTGCAGTATCGGGCTAGGAACTGATGGGAGTTTCTTTGAATGGTAGCTTGAGGATCTCGAATCGCCGGAGTTGTATGTTTCCTCGATCATACTGAGTTGGTCTTGTTGATCGGAAGAGGTCTTTTGTACAAATGCAGATACTTTTTTTCTGCTTGTAATCACGGAAGGTGGCTTTTCAGAGCTTAATGGCCTTGGAATCGAGAAGCCTTGTTCGAGTGCAGAGCTGACCGCCATATTCGATGTTACAGGTTCATATGACAGACCCGTAAATACAAGCCTTGGCAGTGCGCCCAGACCCATGGAGTCCTTCGAAAGGAGCGGCGACGAGGCGGACTTTCTTAGGCGCGGAGGAAACTGAATTTGAAAAGGAATCGGGATGGCATACCCTGCTTTGCTGATGTGTAAACGTTCCGAAATATCCGAGTTTGAGAAGCGCATCAATTGGTCATGGCTGAGAGACGTCGTCGAAAAAAGCCTATCTAGAGACCCATCAGCAGAGCGTGTCAAGGAGGTCCAGTCTTGCGTAGGCCGTCTTTTCTTGACAGGCGAAGATGACCGGGCCCGTTTTTCTGGAGGTTCTGGAGGGCGGGTTCCCAAGTTGATATCATCAACGGACTGGCGGGCTAAAACCATGCGCGACCAATAAGCTCAGGCCAAGATGTATTCTCACTATTCAAGGAGCACGGGTTTCAAGTCAAGCGGGCCGCGATGAAGAGTAGATGAGGACGACGTGTCGAAGGTCAAAACTGCTGGCAGTCTCTTGTCGGCGGTGGACGAATGCGCCTAGATAATTTGGCAGTTGAGAAATTAAAGAAAGAAAGGAAGCGAATGTTGCTTGGAGAATCTGGACAATTGCAAATATAGGCCAGAGCTATGGATGTTTGTAAACGGTGTCTGAAGACCTTAGAAGTAGTGTAAGGAGCATGAGAAATGGTGAGAAGAACGATGTCCATGAATCTGCAGATGGAATGCATGGCGTGGAGGGAGCGTGTTGATTTTGGGTCCGAGTTAGGAAACGGCGAGAAAGCCTATACGGGACAGACGGCCGAATCTTTGTTCGCACCGACTTTTACGCCATTAAGCCCCGTTGTACACGCGGCAAGCCACTCACGTGCAATGTCCGGTCTATGGGTAAAGAATGCCATAGTCTGAAGCCTGAAATCAATAGTGATCTGACAAAAATACACATTCGCAGTTCGATGTTCAATTGCTTGTGCATGACTTCGCACACCCAAGCCTCAGCCTGGAGTGGATATTACCATCAGCCAAGTGTGCATAACAGTCGCTGCATACCGAGTAGCTGGGCACCCATACAGGACTGCACATACGGCCTGAGAACACACTACTGGAGCCAGACAATCGGACGTGCTCCCGTATTTGTATTAACGGGGTTCTTTACATTGTTTCACTATCTGTATGTCGTAAGGAGGATCGGGCCCTTGGCCAAAATTGTCTTGAGCTATGCGGGTGTATTTTGTAGCATTGTCTTTCTGAGCTCAAATGTTGACAGGATACGCTTTGGTGTAAAAGCTCGAGGTTATCCTAGCTAGTTAGTAATAACACCAGAGTCCCAGATAATCTGAATCGCAATCAGCTTACATGCCCAAAATAATTTATTTATATGCGAGACCACGTCCACAAAACCGATAAGAACAGATGATTTTATCGTGGAAGCTGACTCTTTCGAATGAAAGTTGTGAGGTCAAGTTACTCAGTTATAATGCGACGATCATGACAGCTATTCTTCTTCATTTTCGCCCCTGCCCATCCTCGGCGATTCGTATCACCCATCTTTCACACATATACATTAAATTCTTATTATCGCCATTTTCCAGTCCGCTTTTGACTGCTCTTTACGTCCATGCGCCGCTGCGCTTTTTCCTCTATTGTGTGGCCAGTTTGTGATATTGCGCAAGGTTTTCGCACCTATTCTGAGGGCGCAATCTTTGTGTCTTATCTATGTTTCTTCAGCAACCCACTTCTTTTCTCTCTACTCTTTACAAAGCAAACATCCAATAAAGAGGTAAAAAGTTAGTTAGTTGATGTCAAGAATGTCCTCGGAGAACCACGCTAAGGCGGCGGCCCATAATAACGCCCCTATTGTCGCTGCCAACTCTGAGACGGCTGCAAAAACCCAGACGCCAGAATCAACAATCCCGAATGCGCCCAGCAACATCATTTCCAACCCCAGAAAAAATTTTCAAAAGGCAATCGTTGACAGAGTTCCTCAACTGAGGCTTTCTTCCAACAAAGTAGGTCTTTTAAATCTACCAGTGCAAAAGGAAATGTGGTGCAAGAGAAAGGGTGCTCAATTCACGATGATTCTTGCTGGGTGCAGAGGCACAGGAAAAACCACTTTCCTCAACACACTTGTCGGAGAAGAATTGGAAAGTGAAATCACAACTTGTGAGCCGATGCAGGTCCGTGACAGAAAGTACCATCTTCAAGAAGACAAGTTCGACATGGATTTGACCGTTGTTGATATGCCTGATTTCGGCGCAAATATCGACAATCAAAACACCTGGCTTCCACTTGTTAAGTACATCGAGTACCAATATCGGTCATATTTGATTCAAGAAGAGCAGCCGCTTCGTCATCAATTGAAGGATAACCGTGTTCATGTTTGTGTCTACTTCATCAATCCCACAAATACCGAGTTGAGTTCTTTGGATATTGAGTCGATGAAGGAAATCTCCAAGAGAGTAAGCCTCATTCCAGTCATTGCCCGCAGTGACACCCTCAATAAAGATGAGTTGCACAACTTCAAAAATATCATCACTAAAACCTTGAAACAGAATGAAATTGAAGTCTGCAAATACGTCACTGATACCTTTGCAACCGAGAAGATTAACACGCACTCACCATATGCAATTATTGGCTCCAATGTTCTCTATACCAATCCTGATGGAAAACTTGTTCGGGCCAGGAAGTACGGCTGGGGCATGGTCGAAGTCGAAAACTCGGACCATTGTGACTTTGTGCACATTCGCGACTTGCTTATGTCTGAGCACCTTCTTGACTTAATCAGCGCAATGGAAACCCATTATATCCTGTTCAGACAGAGATTTTTGAGACAAAGATTGAACAGCGCTAAAACAGCTTTGAATCAGACCGATCCGTTCCCCCTGAATGCGCTCAATGGAGAAGAAGACGGGCTTGCGTCTTATGTTATGTACAAGAAAACCTTAGGGCTTGACGACATGGTAATGCTTGAGAAGTATAGTGGAGAGGAGGAACAGCTCCAGCAAGAAGCCAGAAACCATTTGGATGATATCATTCGGAAGCAGGAGGGTAAGTTCAGAGAGCACAAAGCAGCACTCTACACGAAGCAAAAAATCTACAACAATGATTTAGAGGAAATCTATCAAACTGTGAGGCTGTTGGAAAAAGAGATTGAAAAGTTGAGTCCTGACGACAAGGATGTGATCAAAGAGATTGCCCTGAAAGTTGGCTTGACTCCGGGCGCCAACCATGCTCCTGCGCAGTCCGATGATAGCACCCTCGCAACTGGCTTTACTATCATGTTTTGAGCTATAACCCTAAGCCCTAGCTAGTGCGACTTCGCGCACCCGTACACCCGAGAAGAAGTACAAATGTCAAGACAGAGAAGGAATGAGCGAGAAAAAAGTACACCACTCTTTTTCTCGACGAAGTGAAAAGACCAAAGTCTTGACTATGCCTATACGTCTTCGATGAAAAGTGAATTCACGGGGAAAGGCGTTAGTATTTATGTTGCTATTGTTTAGACCCAAATGGTATGTTTTTCTTTCAATGGCGTATAACTCCAATGCTCGATGTCTACAGGATGAATTTCTTAATAATATGTTTTTTCTGGCATCTCTAATGTTAGGGCTTTTCGCTCGATGAATAGAACTCTTGTTAATTATCTGATGTGCATTGAGCATTGAAGAACGGTTTGATTCTCGGAAACTAACCCATCAGCCTTGTCATCTCAAGTTCACCAGACCACCATTTTTCTGCGCAACACCTCTTTCCTCAATCTCTTCTTGTCTTCTTTCTTCCCAGACTCCGATATTCAGGCACGCACTGAATATCGGCACCAGTCCCTTCTTTCTTTTGGTGGAGCTCTTGTTGTCACGGCTCAGTTGTAAACGAGCGTGACAATTGCCGTCGTCAACAGTGCTATGTATGCCATAACTCCTCTCTTCTCTCCGGATACCTGCTCAGTAGAATTTATTTTTCCCGGGCCGTACGCCTCGGTGACCCCAGGTCTGTCAGGATACCCGTTTTCCTGTCCCGAGAACGTTGTGGATGCAGCACCGGACAAGCCCTTGCACCCAGGAAAATTTACGCGCACCACTTGTGACTTGATTCAACCCAAAGACATCCATGGAGATATCATCGACTTCTCCGCCAATGGACCCAGTTTTGGAAAAGGAGACATTGGGTGGAGTCGTGGGACCACAGAAGGCAGAGATCCCGGGCTTGGCCGCGCCAGTCGATCCCGTGAGATCCGTCAACTTCATCCTAGACCCATCAGCCTTCACCTTGGGGTTGGGAAACATCGAGAGATGGTTTGACCGCGAGTATTTCCGGGCACAGGTCAAAGACAAGCTCGCAAATATCGACTTGAACTTGTACGTGCCCACCTACACATTAAATGAGCTAGACTACCAAAGACGAGGCCCGATCGTGGGATCCACCCGGGCGCAGGAGGCACTCAAATTCATCGACCGGATGCTGGAAAGCGACGATGGGATGGGGGATTTCGAGGACAGTTTCGCTGAGCCAGACCCCAAAACACGCGGGCCTGCGGCGGAGGGCCGCTTCCGGCACAACTTGTTTCTCGAGCATCGCACCCAGCTGTTTCCACAATGGGGTGCCTGTGCGAGGTTCCAGATGCGAAGCCCGGGCTCGCAAGAGTTGCCCAGCCACGGGCGGTACTCTCTATACGACGAGATCAATCACTTGGTTGGCGAAGTGGGAGATGGCCTTGAAGGGCGCGAGGTGCCCTCGCGCTTGAAGCACTTGATCCGGTCTGCAGTGTACCTCACGAAGATGAACCACAATGGGCCGCAGCATGTCAGCGGCAGTATGTGGAAGTTGGTCACGGAGGACGCGACGACCCGGGTGTGGGCCAGTTGTTTTGGAGTTGACTGCTTGAACATCAACGAGGCTGAACTCTTGCTCTTTCAAGGAAAGGACTTGACCCTTTTCGAGATCCGGGCGGAGGGAGCGGACTTTTTCTCGGGCCAGGATGTGTACCAGGCCGAGGCGCCAGACGCGTTGCACAAAAAAGTCAACACGACGTCGTACAACTACACTGACTACAAGGCCTTTGAGCAGGAGAAACACTCCAAGCGGGCTGGCGCCAAGAAGAACGCGTCCAGGAGGCCCCGGGCGGATGCGCAGGGGCAGGCTGTGCCGGTGAACGAGCATCACAGTGTGGGCATAGCGGGAGGCGTGCTCACCGAGGAGTTCAACATGATCAACTTCGCCCCGAGAGAGCCAGGCCCGAAGCTCATCACGTCCAAGTTGTTTGCCAAGGAGCACACGCCAGCTCCTGGGAAGAACAAGAAAGGCGCCCGGGCAAAGGCGCCGGGCCAGGGGGCTGTCGACGCCGGCGCGTGCTCCTTTTCGCCGGGGGGCCCAGGCCCGGCGATGGAGAACAAGAAGTCCTCGGGGAAGAGACGACTGGGCAAGAAACAGTCGCCGGCGGCCACCCGGCCACCGACCGGCACCACACCAGGCGGGCCCGGGGGCAGCACCCCCGAGCTGGCCGGGGGTGCGGGGCCCACCAAGACTACGGGAGAGAGGGAGTCGCGAAGGCCGAGGCCCAGGCGAACGGCGAAGCCGAAGTCTGCGCCGGGGAAAACGGGGGACGAAGCCGGGTCCATGAATCCGGGGGACGGAGCCGGTTCCATGAATCCACGTGACGAAGCCGGTTCCATGAACCCACGTGACAGAGCGGGTTCTGAAAAGCCGGTTGCGCGGGACGAGGCCCCCGTGGAACCCTAGAGGGACGTCTGTTGCAGGCGCGAGCCTTGCGTGCTGATGGGTGCTACGAGCGGGCGCGACGACCGCGGTCCTTCGATGCCACGCCGCATGCGAGAGCACGAGCCCGTGGACATGTATGCGATTCGTGGGATCCAGTCTACAAATGCCGCCGGCAGGCCAGTTTACAAAGCCGCCGGCAGGCCAGTCTGCAAACGCCGCCTGTCTGGCAAGGCATCACGGCGCGGGTGAGGCGACATGGTGCTGCTTGGTGCCCAGGCGCGTCGCTCCGATTCGCGCCCAGGCGGGCGCACGCGGTGCTGGGCCAGGCCTGCGCGGGCAAGGCGCCACGCCTGGGCGTCGGCACTGTGGTTTGCGGCGTGGGCCTGGCTTGGATTTTTTTGCCCGTGGAGACACGAGGATAGCTAGCACACGGATATAGCAACGAGGCACTTCTGCGGCGGGGGCCGGGCACAGCGGGCGGCGGCGGCACGGGCGTGGGCCGCGCACGACCCGGGAGCCCCAGCACAGATTTTCGAGCCGGGCGTCGAGCGCTCACTTCCCCACGGCCTGTTCCACGCTGGTTCCTTTGCAACATGAACAGACAGCCCACCCGAGAGGAAGTGCAGCGGTACATCCAGAGATGGCAGCAGCTCAAGGCGCAGTACGGCAGCGACGCCGTCAACGTGCCGGAGTACACCCAATTGACCAAGCTTATCCGCTACATCCAGGCCCAGGCGCTCCAGAGACAACAACAAGTACAGACACAACAGCAGCATCAACAACCGCAGCAACAACCGCAAAATCAGCAACAGCAACAACAACAACATCAACAACAACCACAACAAATTCAACAACAGCAGCAACAAATACAGCAGCAACAAATACAACAGCAACAAATACAACAGCAACAAATACAGCAGCCGGCGCCGGACCCGGCCATGCTGCAAGTCACCCACCAGCCGTTTGCGCTGCCCCTGCTCCTGCAGCGGCAGAGCCTGGGGCTCGCCATCAACACCAACGGCTTGCCCTTCCAGCAGCCGCCACAGCCGCCGCAGCCGTACGTGCAGCAGATGCAGCACAAGCAAGCCAGCGCCGGCTTCCAGCCGCACTTTGCGCCGAAGCAGCTGTTCGTGCCCGTGGCCAGCACCATGGGCAGCGCCATGAGCAACTCCGGCAGCAGCTTGGGCACGCCGGTCATGGGCGCCGCCACGGCGCAGATGGGCGTGCCGCCGCTGGCGGCCGTGGACTTTGCCCGCGGTGGCCCGGACCCGAGCCCCTTCACGCCGCAGCAGATGGAGGTGCTCCGGCTGCAGCACCAGGCGGCGAAGTTCTTGTTCCGCAGCCTGGGCGGGTTCGCGCCCGTGCCGCAGGGCCTCATTGACGTGGCCACCAACGAGCGCATGGCGTTCTCCAACAACAGCGCGGCGCTCGCGGGCGCGCCGGGCTCCGGCTCCCAGTCGCCGCAGGTGCCGCTCCAGCAGGCTGCGCCGGCGGCCTTCGCGCGGCAGAGCCAGGTGCCCATGCAGCCGCCACCGGCCCTGCGGCCGGACGCGCACCAGCTCGCGGCGGCGCCGCAGATGGTGGCGCTGAAGCGGCACGCGGCCAAGAGCCAGACGCCGCAGCAGCAGCCCGGCTCGGGCACGCCGGCCGCGGCGGCCGCCGCGGACCCGAACCACATCCAGCCGGTCAGCCGGCTGGCGGCCGTCCCCCGCGAGTTCGCCGCCTTGGCGGGCGCCGAGGACTTGTCCGGCCAGCTTGTGATCCCGGTGTCGAAGCCCGGCGCCCAGGTCGACGCCTTTGTCTTGCCCACGGGCGCCGGCCCGGGCACGGGCGCCAGCGTCCCGTTCAGCGCCCTCTACGCGTCGCAGGGCAAGAGCCGCTACCCGTCCTTGCTTCCATACGGAATCAACTTCAGCGAGATCGCCAGCTCCCGCGAGCACTACATCAGCTTGATGATCCACGCGCGGATCTCCGACTTGGCGCGCCGCTTGGCGGCCGCTGCCGACGCGGCCGAACGCGACCTGTTGACCGTCGAAATCACGCAGCTCAAGCTCCTCCCGCACCAGAAGGCGGTGCGCGGCCGCGTGCTCTCCCAGATGTGGTTCAGCAAGGCCTTGCTTCCGAATTCCCACCCGAACTTCCTCGCGAAGTTCCCGGAGCTCCTGATCGAAAACGTCCTCGCCACCGAGCTGCTCTACAAGCAGCAGCTCTACTCGGTGGTGCAGGCAAAGAACAAGAGGCACCACGAGAACGTGGCCAGAGTCTTGGCTTACACCGCGGGCAAGAAAGAGAGACTCCATGGTCTGCGCGAGCGGCTCGAGCGCTTGGCCATCAAAGTCAACAGCTTCCACGCGCAGACCGCCAAAGAAGAACAAAAGAAATCCGAGCGCATGGCCAAGCAGCGGTTGCAGGCTTTGAAGCTGAATGACGAGGAGGCCTACCTCAAGTTGCTCGACCACACAAAGGATACAAGAATCACGCATTTGTTGAACCAGACAAACCAGTTCTTGGACACTTTGGCCCAGGCCGTTCAGACCCAGCAACGGGAGTCCGCCTCAAAAGCTCCGCATCTGGACCCCAGTGAGGCCCTTCCCGAGCCGGGGGCCGACGAGGCCAAGCACGAGAAGGTGGATTATTACCAGGTCGCCCATCGCGTCACAGAAGAGGTCACCAAGCAGCCAAGTCTCCTTGTTGGTGGCCAGTTGAAAGAATACCAGATCAAGGGCTTGCAGTGGATGGTGTCCCTATTCAATAACCATTTGAATGGCATTCTTGCTGATGAGATGGGCCTCGGCAAAACTATCCAAACAATATCCCTTCTTGCTTACTTGATCGAAACAAAAAATGTGTCGGGGCCGTTTTTGGTGATAGTCCCCCTTTCAACTTTGACAAATTGGAATATTGAATTCGAAAAGTGGGCTCCCTCTATCAAGAAAATCACATACAAGGGAACTCCTGTCCAGAGAAAGGTCATGCAAAACGACATCAAGCAGAACAACTTTCAGGTCCTATTGACCACTTTCGAGTACATCATCAAGGACAAGGGCCTTCTAGCAAAGATCAAGTGGGTTCACATGATCATCGATGAAGGTCACAGAATGAAGAATGCACAGTCCAAATTATCAGAAACTTTGACCCATTTCTACCATAGCGACTACAGACTTATTTTGACGGGGACCCCCTTGCAAAACAACCTACCAGAGCTCTGGGCGCTTCTCAACTTCGTTCTACCCAAGATCTTCAACTCTGTGAAATCTTTCGATGAGTGGTTTAACACCCCGTTTGCAAATACAGGTGGCCAAGACAAAATCGAGTTGAGCGAAGAAGAGACCTTGTTGGTTATTCGAAGATTGCACAAGGTTTTGCGGCCATTCTTGTTGAGGCGTTTGAAAAAGGATGTGGAGAAGGACCTACCAAACAAGGTTGAAAAGGTTGTGAAATGTAAAATGTCTTCGCTACAATCAAAATTGTATCAAATGATGTTGAAATACAACGCTTTGATCGCCGGGGATTCGGGAAACGGTAAAAAAGCTTCAACCATCAAAAACGCCAATAACCAACTCATGCAATTGAGAAAGATTTGCAATCACCCATTCGTTTATGAGGAAGTTGAAAACCTCATCAATCCCAATCTGGAAACTAACGACTGCATTTGGAGGACAGCTGGTAAATTCGAGTTGTTAGATCGGATCTTGCCTAAGTTCAAAATGACGGGCCACAGGGTCTTGATTTTTTTCCAAATGACTCAGATCATGGATATTATGGAGGACTTTTTGCGTTTGCGTGATATGAAGTATATGCGATTGGATGGAGGAACCAAGTCTGATGACAGGACCACCTTATTGAAACTGTTTAATGCTCCCGGCTCAGATTACTTTTGTTTCTTATTATCTACAAGAGCAGGTGGATTGGGATTGAACTTGCAATCCGCAGATACAGTCATTATTTTTGATTCTGATTGGAACCCCCACCAAGACTTGCAAGCACAAGACCGCGCGCATAGAATTGGACAGAAAAATGAGGTCAGAATTTTGCGGCTAATAACCGAGGACTCTATTGAAGAAATGATCTTGGAGAGAGCAGTGGCAAAGTTGGAAATTGATGGCAAGGTCATTCAAGCAGGTAAGTTCGATAACAAATCAACATCTGAGGAACAGGAAGCATTGTTGAGGGCTTTGTTAGAAAAAGAAGAAGAGAGACGCCAAAAGAGCAACGAAGAAGACCAAGACCTAGACGATGATGAGCTTAATCAAATCATCGCCAGGAACACTAACGAACTAGACGTTTTCCGAGACTTGGACTCTAGGCGGGCTTTTGCCTTGAGAGAAGCCGACTACCCATCTCGTCTCTTCACTGAACTGGAGCTTCCTGAAATTTATAAAAAGGACCCTCGATCAATGTACAAATCTGAGCAGCAGTTGATAGAGGAATATGGAAGAGGAAACCGTGAACGAAAAACTGCGATATACGATGACAACTTAACTGAAGAAGAATGGCTCAAGCGGATCGAAGGCACAGTATCTGATGATTCAAGTGAAGAAGTGGTTGTCCGGAAAAAGGGTCGCCCCAGGAAAATTGATGTTGAGAAACGCAAGATGCTAGGCTTGGACGACGAAAGCCTAGCTAAGAGACCAAGGGTCGCCACTCCTTCGACCAGGGGAAAAAGAGGTAAAGTTGGAAGGCCGAGATTGAAGACTGCTTCTAATAGAACCACACCATCTGTCGACGTTCTCGCTCCTGAGACAAGGGCCCTTCTTCAAGAGAGAATGGAAAAGATCATGAATGCCTTGCTCGATTTTTCGGATGGAGAGCGTAGGTTGAGTGACTTATTCTTGGTCAAGCCCTCGAAAAAGTTATACCCCGATTATTACATCTCAATCAAACATCCTATTGCGCTCGATGTGATTAGGAAAAGAATCGGCAACAAGACTTACATGCAAATGAGGGATTATCTAGAGGATATCCACCTCATCTTCAGCAATGCCCGAATGTACAACGAGGAAGGATCAATTGTTTACCGGGATGCTTTGACGTTGGAAAATTTGGCGATTGAAATTTACAAAAGAGAGTGTCCCGAGGAGATGAGTCAATGGGATACGATACTTGACTTCACGAGCTTCGACGAAGTGCATCAATACAAGCCATTGGCCGCGGGCGGGATAGCGATCAAACAACCGGTCACAGAAAATAACGTGAATTTTGTGCAATTTCCATGATCTTCTCCAATTCTCATGGAGAAATATATCACGGGCTAACCACTACAAGTAGTCACTAATTAGAAATCGATCTAGAAAATTTATGTTGGGATTAATTTTTTTCCCCAAAACTGTATTACTATCGAGAATGTAGGGACAGTGAAGGCGAGATAAGCAAGCTGCCCAGTGCTATGGCATTCATGTTTCCGAGTACCTAGGGAGGTCCTCGTCAATATGAGGGTTGTGTATCGTATCATTTATTGCACGATCAATAGCTGCAATAAAGTCGAATAATCCTCCATCTTTGAAGGAGATCTGACCCTTGAACCATTCCGTCTTCGGAAAGCCGTCGCATGTAGAATCTGAGGGACTAAAAAATAAGAACAGCCAGTAATTCGGCCCAAACCAGGGCGATTTTAATGTATGGGATAACTGACAAGCAGCTGCCCAAGAAAAATCAAACTCGAATGACTCGACATCACCTTGGGCCTCAGTTATGAAAACAAATCTCTGGGTGGTCACAAATACTCGCCCATTCATTACCGAAATGTTCACATGGACTGATCCTTTTGGTTCTTGCAGATTCACAGAGAAAGATTGCCGTTCAGTTGGCGAAGAGTAAGTTAGAACTTCGCCTTCTCTCAAATCAAAGGGTAAGCCCTGATAGCTGTTCGGTTTCAGAACATTGATTCTATTAATCGACATTTTGGCGTCTCTAAGTGCTAACAGCTGATTTTATTCACCACTAGTAATCTTTCTGCAGAGAGTATCAGAGTAAAACAAGATCAGAGGTAGATGCTCGCTTTTGAAACTCGTTTGAATTGGTGTTTAACTCAGATAGTTATTCACGAGGGTTTTGTCTTATAAAGATGCGGGGCTACATTTTCCAGACGAGCCGCACTTATTTCAACTGTATTTGAGAAAGGCATGCTTAACGCAGATTAATTTGAGTTGCACACTTACTCATGACATCCTGGAGAGCTGACTGTCAAATCTATGACTTTAGTTGATTTAGGATTTGTACGGACAAGAACCAGGTAGTCGATTTCTGATATCAATGGACTGCATACACATCGAGCCGAAGGTATGAAAGACACTCCTACACCCTATCTTCCGTGCCGGAGACGATATAAAAAATTCCAATTTGTACTATCACACTTGGCAATTTCTAAAGGATTTAGAGCAGGTTAGATCAAAATTATATTCTCTGCTTGAAAGAAATTAATATCGTCATCGGGCTATGAATGCGACTGTTCGTGCATGGTGCATCGGACCCAGGCCAAACTCGCGAGTAGAATTAGATGGAAGCCTGTAAACCAGCATTTCAAACCAGTGATGAAACTTCGATCATTGAATCCCCTGCTCTTGGCCAACCTCACTGCTGTGCCCTACCCATCTCACCAGTATGGATTCAAGAATCTCAGTAGGCCGGAGGCTTGTCAGCAGATTTTGGACAAACTCAATCTAGCGCAGAAGTACCCAAACTCAAAAGGCAAACTTGATGTCATTGACGTCTTCTCAGGCTACGGACTATTTTCTACTATGTTAAATTACGAACTTAAGCCCAGAAACCATATCATTGTGGATAACACCAAAGACAATCAGGATGTTTGGGAGAAGCGCATCACTCACCTTGAAGCAGAGACGGGTAACGTCGAGAACTTCAGGTATTTCAATATGGATGGACATGCATGGGAAACTTTTAGTACTCTTCTTGACCAAATGAAAGTAATCACACCCTCTTTCCAGCCCAGAAGTCAAATTCATGATGAATTACTCATTGTGGGGAACATGACGTCTAACAAGGTGGGGGAGAGCTTGTTTGCTCAATGGCTCCAGTGCTGCGCTTATGAAAATTGGCTCCAAAAGTATGGCCGCGTAAGAATGTTGTTATTAGTTCGTGAGGCTACCACAATGAAATTCATGTCGGGGCCTTCTTTTATGAAGAGAAACCGGTCCGCACTCAAAAGAGATGTGTACACGGACACAAAATTAGTTGCGATATCCGATGCACAGGTTGATAGCACTGGAGTCGCTGGTGACGCTTTTGACCCCAACGTTTTGGTAAAGGACCAGCCGGTGATCCTTCCCACAAATGCCATTGCACCTTCAGGAGGCGATCTTTCTTTTGTCGAAGTCCTCCCAAGGCGTGACTTGCAAAATTTGGATGTCAACGCCTTGGACTATCTCACCCAGATCTTGATGTACAGATCGCTTAATACAGTTGCCGAGGGATTATCTGCAATTGCACCTGGGGCTGCAGAGGACTTGGCTCCAAAGCTACCGCAGGAAATTCTTAGTAAGTCCGTCCGTCAGCTAACAAGAGAAGATGTCATCAAGATTCACGATGTGTATAACAACTGGGCATTCAAACCATCGTTTGAAGAGACATTCAACTTTTTTGCAGAGGACACTCGCAGTTTTTAATACAAGTATTGTGTATCAGGGCTTGTCGGTTTAGCGTACTATAAAGACGTATCAATTGTAAATATAAACACTGACGACTCCATATCATCTAGAAGTATTCTAGACTTCCAACTCTTATTCCTCGCCAGGAAGCTCAACATTTGCAAATAATTGAACGAGCTTTCCACTATCAAACACATGTTCCGGGGGTGGCCCAAAGTACCCAGCATTAGGCAAGTGTTGAAGCAAGCCATAAATTTGATTTCCGACGAATCCATGCAGATGTGGCGCTTGCCCATTGCGCTGTGAAGATGCCAGCAGTCTATTTATATGTGTGGAAGCCTTGCCAGATCCCGCAGACTCTGGCGAATAGTTGTCCCGAGATTTTGTCTTTCTGCGTTTGTTTGGTTGCATTTCCTCCGTGTCACCCTCCTCATCATTTCCCGTGTTGGAGGTGAATGCATTTTTATCGCCCAAATCATATCTGGCAACGACGTCAAGCTGTTCCATCTTGTATCTATCGGCAAATAAAGCCATTTGATCGCTTTCGGGGAAATACTGAATGAAGCGCTTTTCGAGGTTTAGGACAGTGTTCAACTCCAAAAACCTGGCCGCAAAGTCGATATATCTCCTGATGATCTTTTTCATGAAATGCTCATTTTCTTTGAGGGTCTGCAGTTTGTTTCTTTGATCCAATATGTTGATAGTCGCCACCTGTAAAGCCTCTTTATCGTTTTCAATTTTTTTGAGAAGATTTGTCACTGCAACTTCGAAAAATACCTTCAAGCTTTCTATACCATTTGTGAGGATCAAATAATCCAAGTAGCGGTATAAGAAAGCACCGTTTTGACCAAAACTTTTCATTGCCAAGTCAAAGATTTTGTCTGCCGTCTTTTTATTGTCCGAGTAGAACTCAATAAGTGCGTTTTCAACATAAAGCTCATATCCCATGGATTTAAAGTTTTTACGTTGTTTGAACACCGACCGCACCTCTTTGATTCCCTGCGATCTCTTACACAAGCCCATTAATTTTACATAAACTAGAGTCACCGAATTGCTCAATTCTTGTAACTTGTCCTCCAATTTAAGTATGGCGAGCGCATCGGCCTCCTTGTACTGAATAACGGGCTGGTATTCTTCTTCTTCTTCATCATCACTGGCAGGTTTAGCCTCAGAAAATTCCTTGGCAGCCGGTTTAGAACCTTTTTTAGTCGATGATTTTCTTTTAATATTGTCAATTTCTTCCTGGACTAAAGCATGTTTGTCCGAGAGTCTTTTGATCAAGTTTTCATACAGCTGCTGGGCCTTGCTAAAGGCATTTTCTCTCTCAAGGAGCTCAGCTAGTTGAAATGTCAATAAATAACTCTCCGGGTTAAGAATCAAAGAGTCATTTAGTAGCTCTATGCAAGTGTCACGATTTGCATCCTCATTCAGTTGTAAAAGGAATTGAACGTTTCGAAACCATAACTCGGGAACAAAAGGAAGCAAGGAAGTGGCGCGTTTGAATACGTATTCTATTCTGGTTTGTAGATTTTCCGGCTGCAATTTCAAGCTATTTTTCTTCTCCAAATCAATCCACAGGTACCACAAGCTAATTTGGTCCTCAATAATGTTGGCAGTATCAGTCGTGGGCGAGCTGGGGATAAGCTTTCTGCGGAGAGAGTTCTTTGTAACATTGTGCCACTCAGTGTTCCAAGATCTTGCTTCCATGTACGAAGTCGAAAGATCAGCAATGAACTTACTAGCAGAATTAGGTGTCGATACGTCATTTTCCCACTTGGTGTATTCGGACCATATGGTCTCAATTTTTGATGTCGGAATCACGAGACATCTTCTATATAGTTTTCGTATCAAGTCATTCTTCTGCTGCTGTTCCCAACTGGAGCTCGGTGTCCAGCTTTTGAAGAATTCCAAATAATCCTTCCATAAATCATAACTTTCGAGATCAACACCCACTTTGTTGACAGCAAAGTCAAAAGACAGAACAACGGTGCTTCTGGCCTTTTCGCCGCCAGTGATGACATCGTTCACTCGACGCACATACAGCACGTAAGTCCGACAGATGTCGACATCCGTTGTGATTGGGAGACAGCGAGCAAATAGCTTTTCCACTTTGGAAAAATCGCCTCTGTTTAGCTCGAAGTTGATGTAGTTTGACCATTGCTTGGCCTATTATGTTAGTATGATGCGCAGAATACTGTAAATGCTTCGTTCTCTTAAATACACATACGTCAAATTTGAATATAGACAAATATTTATCGAAGGTGGCACGAACTTGCTCCTCCTTATCTTTCGCCACAACTTGATCGATCAACTTGGACCACAGAGAATAGTTCCAAGGCTGGGCCTCAACCACCTCTTGGAGTTGGCCGATGACATCCAACGACATTCTATTCTTTGAGTCAGCCAGGACCATTGTTGTACGTCTTTGACAAATCTAAGAGCACCAAGTCGTGAGTAAAGCTGGTAAAAGCGTTTCTTCCAGATTTTTGGTTGATATGGAGCTGTAAAGTTATGTACTTGGATTGCGCAAGTAACCGAGACTTGACGTTGGCTGACCGAGCGCGGTAGTGTAGTGACAAAACAATAGGAGCATCGAGCGCACGCCCGGGTGAATCTAAATACAGATCCCCGAAGCACAGATACTGGTAGGCCGGACGTGGGGAAGTTATAAAAATCAACTTGAGGCCGAGTTCTCGCAACTTCGAGTTTTGTAGAAATATTCGTGAAGTATCGAAGTGAAGCGAGAAAAAAGTCTAGTGTTGGTGTAGTTTATTTCTTTAATCTCATGACGTACTTTTTAGTGAGCGTGGAACGCTGCTATGCAAACCTTTCCAACCGACTACTTCCCAAGATTCTTCCAGCCCATATCGAGAGCAATAACTTGGAAAGTTGGCCGAAATCCACAAGATAAAAAACAGTCGCTCGCTTTGAAGAATAAGACTCATTCAAAGCATTTGGTAGCTAATTCTTGCATCAAACATCAGTATAAAATGATGGACTTACATGTATGGGGCAAATCCAGTATTTCAGTCATCGACCCGGAATCCAGAGCGGCAGCTTGGCTCTTGTGTCTTCATTTGACTCCTCAAAATGTCAATTTCCGGATTGTTCCGTCTTCAAACACAAATTTAGCTGATTCAAACCAACTACCCTTGTTGGTGGTTGACAACAGCGGAAAAAATTCAAAGTACGAGGGTTACGCCGAAATTGCCAGGTATATCTGCGATACCTACCCATCCGAGACAAAGTTCATTCCTGATGGTAAACTTAACTCGTTCGAGCTGATGGTGAACCTCACTTTCACGACATACCTTTCAAGAACCCTTCACTACGTGAATCAATATAATCTATACGTGAACTCCCAAAACTACGAGCTTTACACGAGAAAACTCTTCCTGAATTACTTGCCTTTTCCTATGATGTATAACCAGCCGCTCAAGTTTCACGAAAATGCCTGCGAGCAGGTTCAGGTTGTTGGCCTAGGAGTGAATAAGACTCTGCTCTTTAGTTTTACAGCAGAAAAACAAGTAGCGGAAACAGAGTTGATTCATGATGATAGCGGGAGTGAGGATGAAGACGGTGTAGTCATAAGTGCATTACACGAGAAATCCATCCTCTCCAAAGAAAAAAGCAAGGCTCTGTTGAGAGAAACCAAGAACTCTCTTCGATGCTTGAATCTCGTTCACCAATATATGACCCATGCCATCGGTGTGTTCAAAGAGCTTCACCCCGAGTCTCCAGTTGAATTTGCTCATTTTTTCCGCCCCAAAAAGATCAGTTCTTGCGAGCTACTTCTTTACTCCTACTTCTACTCTTTGGTCAGTGTGGCTCTCCCAGATAGATTCATAGCGCATTATTTGGAAAAGAAGTTTCCCACTTTTTGGAGCTTTGCCACAACTATAACCGAAGCATTGAATCTGACTTTGGACAAGAGCAAGTTCCGTGCTGCTAAAGGTAGCGAGATCCCCAGCTTGTGGAATGAAGTGAACTACGTTTTGGGCCTACAAACAATTTGAGTATTATGACGCGCAAAAAATAGATAGGCAAAATCCCTCTCCGTACATGTACAACTGCAACTATTTCGAGTAACAGAGCAACTAATCAACAATGAGTCATGGAATCGGCTCAAAAAAATCCGAATCGTACCTATTAATTTTTGTCGCTGACCCGTTTCACAGAATTTTCATTAGATGTGCTCCTATTCCCGGAAGAATTTGGGTGCGAGGAATCAATAGCCCCATTGGTTACCCGCATCGCGTCCAACCGCAGTATAAGAAGAGACGAAAAAGCCCGTCCTACTATAAACCCCATTGGCAACTTCAGCATAGTTTCATCACAAATAATATCTGTGCTTGTGATGATGGAATTTTCTTTGCCAGAGATCAAATGATGCGTGCCGAGTAGGTACTAGATTCTGACGGTAGAATTTGGACTTTACTGCCTATCACGGAGTCATCGACATCCCTCCAGTAGTGAACAATAGTAGTTTTGTTGGAAGAACAGTTTGAGGTCGCTGGGCCTTCAGGCTGATATAGATACACAGCCAGCCTATCTTTTTTTCTCCGCCTTCCAAACTCTCAGTACTCATCCGTTCTTCCGCTACTTCCGTATTCAACCCTGGGTTCTCATAGTTTTCCCGGCCCGAGCCAAGCCGCGCCTGGCAGTTTTCTGTATTTTGATGAGCTAGTCCCGGCTGCCGCGGGCCGCGATCGTTTTCCGCGGGCCTTCTCTAGATCACTTTCCGGTTCATCCGCAAGAATCTCGACTTGCAAATATATAAGTCGAAATGAAGGCAACAGGTCTTTTGGCTACTCTAGCTTTTTCCTTCGTGGCAGCTGGCGCTGTTTCTAGCCTGCCGGCGAGCGTGACGTCAATGGAAGCGCAAATCACGGATGACCCGTCTCTTGAAAAACGATTCAAAGATGTCATTGTCAACAAGAACTACAAAGAGTTGGAGCTGTTGAGATTGCACGGCACTGCCAGTGCCCGCAATACCTTAAAGCCATGGATCAGAACGATATACGGCAGTAAGGTGGAGATCGTCACTCCTACATTAGTTGCGGGCGTGACCATCAGTGCAAAGCCTCCTGCTACTACCAACGGGTTAGAGCCATGGATTTCTTTGAATAAAGACGGGTCGCCAAAAACAATCAAACCGAAAATGAAGAACGGCGTGATCAAGGACAAGTCCCCTGATTATGGCACGTATTTCCAGACAGCCACTACGGTGAGGTACACGAAGGAAGAGTTGAAGGCACACAACATGGCGGAAAATGAAGTGTTCTACGAGGAGACATTCATTGAAGAAGACACGACATACCGTCTGTTGAACCCGATCATGAGATGTACCCCTGATTCGTATAAAATGAAGGGCTTAGGTAAGGACAAGAGCCCGGAACCATTCTGTTTCCCCCGGGACAACACTCGCCTCTACAAAGATCATACTTATTTCGTGACATGGTACTACAGATTCTTTGACGACTCGGTGGACAACGTTAGGCTACACCTTTCTTATGTGAAGGAGAGTGTCAGACAAAAGGGGACCAAAAGAGACTTGCTGGAAGATGAGACAACTACCAATGAATTGAGCAAAAAGTCTACTATCATGGAGAAGGGGGGCACATTGGGCGAGACCTCATTCTTTGCCTCTGACTGGATGTCTAAGGAGGAAGGGATCTTCGCCTTGGAGGTCGATCCCGAGTGGCTTCAAGGTGAGTACTACAAGAAGGTTTTGGTCTCACTCCAGCCGGACAACGTAGCCGATGACGAATTTGACCATATGGCCAACTTCATTGTTATTGAGATTGCCCAGAAGCCCAAGGTTGCGAAGGGTCATGCCGAGGACATCATTAAACAGGAGGAGAGGCAGAAAATGAAAGCTTTGTATGGAGATAGCTACGATGTTGAAGAGGGCATCGATTACGAAAAGTACATGGTCATCATGACTATGCCAACGTGCGTGTTACTTGCCGTGGTCTTCATGTACCTATTTGTGTGGTACAATAGCCGAGACCACGACTTGTCGTTCCTCAAGAAAGTGAAGTTTGCTAAGAAGAAGCGCACCAAATTGCCTATTCATTCCAAGAAAGAAGGCAAATATACCGAGCTTCCACAATGGGACGGGCCCAAATTAGATTGAGTGGCTGGTATATTTGGCTTTCTGGGCATCCCCATGAGCAGAATATGGGACGATGAACACAGGCATCTACGCGTGCTTGAATAAGCACTGACTTTCAGTACGTTTCTTATTGTATGTCATCAGACGCGTTTTTCACGGGAGAAGCTATGAAAGCGCATGCAAGGAGGTAAGCCGCGCGAACACTGCCTGCGTGGGAACTCGGCACCTCTGAGGTTATATTGCATATACTGTTGGAGCCAAGGTCGAGCTATTGTCAGGCCCTCCACCTAACCGTAAATATACTTTGATTTCTTGCAGCGAAAGTGTGCAAACCCCGTCAAGAGAGCTTTTAGTGGTTTTGGTTCCGATATTCAAATCGCATAAAGACTCTGCGAAAGCCTGTACGTCACTGATTCTCTTCTCAAATTTGTCATCCATACACAGAGGAGCACCGGGCCTTATCTCCATATTACATCAGTACTACCCGCAACCACCACATAGAGATTTTGATTCGCGACATAACACCTGAGTTTGGTTCTCCCAAGTGCATCTCTTTTTTTATGTTTCAGTTGACTCAGACAATGCTTGAGTGGTACGAGAACGCCTCTCAAGGCTGGCTACTCACCACGCTTTCGTCGCTTCTTTGTGTTCTCGGATGCTTTATCATATTCTTGGACGACGTTTACTACTTCGTCCTTCCAAGGACCATCACTGCCAAGTTTCCCTTTCATCTCAAAGAAAACTATTCATTTATGAATGGATCGCTTGCTTTTAGTTGTGGGTGCTTGTTGCTCACGGCGCTCTACCGGCTCTTGCCAGAAGCCATGACCTACTTGGCGTCTTCAGATCAAGATGGAAAGGCAAACACAGTTCTAGTTGTATCGTTCATCGCGGGCATTATCATCTGTATATTGTTCAATAATGTGTTGCACTTGCTCACCGCAGAGTCTGTGGTACATTGTTCGCACGGTGGAGAAGGGAAGATAGAACAAATGCCCAGTGATCAGTTGCACATTTCGCATGTCCTTGAGGCACGCGAACATCCTCATCAGGGTCAAGACGGGCTGCATTTGCACTGCTCGTCGTCTGCAAAGCTGCATTCACACCACAGCCATGATCTTGAGAGAGGTCCTACGGAAATGTCCCAAAGATCTTTCGATTCACATCATCACGGAAGCCCCAGCAAATGCTTGGAAAGCGACGAATCAAATGCGAATATAACGGTTTACGAAGGCGCGGCTATAGTGCCTGTCACTGACGCGAATGATTTGGAAAGACAACCTCTTTTGGCCCACAAGAAGTCCAGCGGCTTGGCCCATTTCTTGGCACATGGCTCAACGCTGGAGGAGCAGATTCTAGGAGAATGCAAAGGGTATTCTTCTGCCGAAAGGTGAGTGTACGAGCAAACGGGGGAGCTCCACTACTGCGAGATACCACAATTAAGAAAAGCCGAAGATGACACCCGTGAAAATATCTTAGAGATGGACGATACCATCAAGCCTGTTGTGACCCCAGTCGCTCTGCACTCGCATCACGACTCAGACGAGCACCATCACCACCATGTGAACTCGCCATACTCGAGACTTCTTCTCATTGGTATACAAACAATATTTGCCATTACCCTTCACAAATTTCCCGAGGGCTTTATCACATACATAACTTCAGAGACTAACCCCCAGCTAGGTTTTTCCATTTTTCTAAGCTTGTTGATCCATAACTACACCGAGGGTTTTCTGATGTGTTTGCCGTTATATTATTCTTTTGGGGATGTGAAATGGAGGAAGTTGAAAGCTGTGGGCATCAGTGCTACTCTAGGAGGGCTTTCGCAACCCATGGGCGCCTTTCTTGGCTACTTGTTTATGCGTTACTACGGTAAGGACAGCTTCGATGTCGGGAAGCTCAACTATGTCTTTGGTATTTCCATGGCAGTTACAAGTGGGTTTCTCGTTGTGATTGCGTTGTCCATGTATGGGTCATCCGTGTCTTTCAGCGCAAGGCCAAATTTTGTTTTAGTCTGGTGTCTTATTGGAATGGGCACTATAGGCGTCCTGACCATTTTTACGAGCCACTAGAAGATCGCGTGAAGTCCGGAAGCCAGCCGGAATTGCCATCTTAAATAGGGTACCTTCCAATGTCAAAAGTGTCTGCGACTTCTCAATGTCAAAAGTGCCCGCGAGCCTTCGGTGTGGATTCTATACATGCTGTCTACGCCGTTATCGATAACCTCTATCTGGCGTGCGCGACCGGCAAAGCTTCCTAATCAGCAATCCAGTATGCTATTCGGTTGGCGCACGCCCTAACCATTTCTTTTTTTCTGCCTCGAAGTGGCCGGGAACCCCTATCTACTACATTATTCTTTACTTATCATCCACGACTTTCTGTCTACAACACTATTTTTCTTACGTATATTTGCCCTGGCAACCGCTCCAGAAAAAGTAAACATCTTTGCGATTTCAAACTTCGGTTCTACCAACACACGTTTTTATACCCCACATAGAAATTTAGTCAAGATGATGGCTCACGAGATACCACTACAAGTGCATCACAAAGCTCTGTCGGGAACGAAGACACGGAAGCACAAGCCTGTGAATCAAGCTAAATCTCAGTTGCCTAATGGGCAAAAACCGGACTTTGGCTCGGGTTTGAAGGAGAAGCCCCTTAAAGGAAGGTCCCCCCAATTACCCAATGGCGAGAAACCGGATTTTGGCGGCTCTGATCATAAGAAGGATCATGGCAGCAAGCCAAATGGTAGCAGAAAAACCAGAAAAGCTTCTGGCAAGAAGACCAGTACTGTGCCTACAACCCCTATTTCGTCGAACGAGCCAAGAAAGTCTGAAGGAAAGGAATGCTACGCTGGGTCGTCGTTCCACTCGTCGCCAGAGGCTTTAGCTCTCCCCAAGCCGTCTTTTGCGAGGAATTCTCCGCAGGCACCCTCTACAGGGACTTTCAGTCCTCTGAACCAACCACCTGTGAATGCTGTTTCACATGACGTGGCCATGCCCCATGCTTTTGTGTACCAGGGCATGCCCCCAAGTGGGCCACCACGCCATCCCGTCACGGCTTATCCGCCATCACCACTTCCAGGTTTTGCCTATAACACAAACAGACAGGGCTACATTAATTACCTGTACCCGCCGGCAGCAATTCCGCAGCCACCTTTACCGTTGCAATCAATTCCTTTTCAGAACTATCCTGTTCCACAACCACCATCGAATCAGCAGTTCGGAGGCCAGAAAATAACGTTCAACGAGTTAATGGGCTCGTCTCACTGAGCCTCCCATTCGCCGGTTGTTTAGGTGCCTCTGTTTCATGATTGTCCTTTATTTCATTACGTCCGACATAATTTGGTTGTGAGTATGAGAAGCGTCCGAGCGCATGCGTTTCATCTACGAAACGACGAGTTCGATTCACATCTCTGTCCTACTGACTAACCCTACAATTTTGTCCCGAGCGTGCCGCTGAAGGAGAAGTATATTCTGCACTGTGAGTTGAGAAGAACTTGCGTCACATTTTTGTTTTATTTTCATTTTTTTTTTTTTTTT